ATACAATATTTGGACGAAATTTTCTCAACCATTTTCATCAGTGTGCAATAGAGAGGAAATGCCCTTGAAGTGGGTGTTTCAACAACCCCAAAGCACACACCAGTAAGTGAGCAGCATCTTGGTGTAAGAACAATAGAACAATAGGACCTGATCCTCGGTCTTTAATCCAATAGAAAACATCAAGCAAGCTGTTTCTAAAGCAAAATCAAACGTAGAAGAAGTATGGAGGGACTCCAATCATCATGGCTTGAATACCTGCTCACAGTTGCCAGAATTTGTTGACTCTATGCAAAGCAGTTGGGTTATACAACTAAATCTTAGTCTGGTGATTAACAGGACAACTTTTCAGTTTATTCAGATATTTTTCTTGCTTTCAATTAGATCAATTTCCCTTCATGTTTTGATCGTTGCACAAGCCAAATCCCTTCCAAAAGCCTCTCTCCTTTCCCCTTCCTTCAGTTCCGACCCTTGTTCCCATGGCAATTAGAAAGAAACCTCAGCTAATTAGCTTTTTTTTTTCTTTTACGAGATGCAGAGGGCTCCGAGGATGTGTCACCACTTTCCAAACCTTCCTCAATAGCGGCGAGAGATTTGTGTGATGGCTTAATGGCCGGGGAGGAAAAAGAGCTGCGGTGGCAATATTGTTGTGTTGGTGTTTGGTTTGAAGTGCGCCGTGACCCCTTGGAGTGTTTTATAGACATGGCTGTCCCTCCATACGTATCCCACAGAATGTGACGCGAAGCACATCAACAGGACTAGACAACACACACACACACACACACACACACACACACACACAACTATGAAAAGGCGGCCATCAACTCCAAGGTGCCCCTGTTTTCAGAGGAGAGATTTAAGGAGTGCATTTGCGTGTCCGCGACTCCTCCAGCAGTCACTCATGAAGGCGTGAGGAGGGGGGCCTCAAAGCTGAGGGCCCTCGCCTCACGGCCTGCCCGGCTCAGCAGCAGAGATCGAGTATCTTTTTCTATTCTGCGTGGAGGTGACGCGTCCCCACAAGAATGCGCTTCTCTTCCTCTCGTCGTTCGCTTCAGTTTCCCCTCTGGTTGCTTACTTCACTCGCACGGCCACGGAGCTGTCGCTTGAGGAATCTGGAAAACACCAGCGGGGAATGAGAGGAATTTCTGCTTCTTTTTCTTTTTTTTTTCGTTCTCTTCTTAGCTGCCCCTTCCCCTCCTCTTCTCCCGCTCCCTCACCCCTTGCCTCGGCTCTCTTATTTGCTTTAGACGCCTCCGAGCAGCCGCGCTCTTGAGTTTTCTCTTGTTTCTGAACACCGTTCAACAATAACAACCTCTCATAAACAAAAGGGGGTTGTTGATTGGTGGTGGGGGAGTGGAGCTCAGAGGGGAGAGTGGCGATCACTGGCAACAACAATCCAGAAATCCCCCCCCTCCAAAAAAGCGGAGGCCACACGGAGGACCGTGAAGGATTTAAGGGGGGGACTTTAGGAAAGTAGCATCTCTGAAGAACCATAAACACATGCTTTGGTTCTTTCTTAATCCATCCTTCCTCCAGAAGTACTTTGATGGACAAAACTCCTAAAGTGGAAGCTGGTCAATGCCAGGAAACCACAAAAGTGCAGAAGGAAAGGGGGAAGAAAAAAAAGAAAATCAGTTTAGAAATTCTCTGCTTTTACACCACTAGTGGTCTCGTAAAGGGAGTCTGGACCACATCGAGTGGGTTTCTGAAAGGCCAATCGTGGATCTGCCCTGTCAGTTCAGCCTATAGATAATACTACATGCGTATTAAACCCAAAGTCTCTTGACGGGGAGACGATAATGCAAACCGATCTGTCTTAGAATAACTTCGGCTCTTGGGTTTCCATTTTAGGGAAAAAAAACATCTTGCACATTACCCTCCTTCTGCTGTTGAAGTGATTTTATGAGTCCCACATCATCTAAAAGCAAATAAAACGTCAAAGGAGGCTCAAAAAGAGATGTGTAAACAAACTTTTACATTTTATTATAATTACTTACATACTGCATACCAGAGTGAGACTTTTAGAAATACAAAGATTCTCCCCCAACCCCCTCCCTTAAAATAAAGCTTTCCCCGGTTCAGTGCCTTTCAGAACACGAGGGGATAGTGCGCCCCCTTGTGGTCAACAAAAAACACAATCACTTATTACATTTTTAATGGTTGACTTTATTTAAGTAGAAACGCATCCAAAGCCGTCAAAACAATCGGTAAGTATTTCACTCATTCACACACCAAGCACTCCAAAAACATACTCATGATTTCAATAGCATCAGTGAGCAGGACTTCTCACTGTCTTCATTTCTCTACAGGCTTGAACGGATCGGACCAGATCTTGACACCTTCAGACATAAACAAAACAAACAAACAAACAAACAGAAAACACATCAAAACGTGCAAAAATTCAGAAAACACGGGAATACCTTTCAATAGCGGTGCCAATTCTCAACTGAAGACATTAATGATTGGGTTATAACCATATGAGAGTTTCTCCTGTAGTGTTTCCTTATTTTTTCTTCTTCTCTCTTTTTCACTCTAGTCCTAGATGTAAGTACTCTACAGGTTTCTGATGCGTCTTAGCTCCAAAGCTGCTGATTCAAACGACTTAATCACCTCCTCGGCATGCCACTTAGCTCGTTAGCAGAACAATTGTTTTGATTCATATGTGCCGACTTAGGGCAACATCTAAGACAGGCAGTGCAAGCGGTCTTGATGATTGACTTTGGACACCTTTGCTATTGAAGAATTGACTGCATATCAAGTATATTTCAACAATGTAGTTTATGTTTTGGGCAAGGGATATAAACAAAAAATGCCAAACGGAAAAGTTTGACACCTCTGCGTTAGATGTCCTCTTCAAACAAACTCATCCCTCAGAGGTTCTATAGATCTAGAAGGGTTGTTCTAAATCCTCATCCTATTGAGAAAAGGATTTTCAGTTTTCCATTTTCAGTTTTCTAGCTGATTTTTATTTATACTCTCTTGGTATTTCACAAGGTGCCACGTGTGTACATTTTGGGAGAACCACTGTGTGGTATTTGGTGGTACTCCTCTGGAAGGGAACTGGATATTGTTTGTCCTAATGTATTTGAAAAAAAAAAAAAAAAAAGGTGGAAAAATACTATCGGAGCAACTTGGTAATTTTTGCTCCGAAAAATTGTACCTGGATCAGATTCAATTATCTGATCCAGGTGGGATCAGATAATTGTAAATAAGCTCTGATTAATTTAAATAAGTACTCTCACCATACTGGTTATATAAACCTAGATGTCTGCACCTGTGTGCATGAAAAATTTACACTGTTGGTACTATTGCTATTTTGGAAAGAAGATTTTGTGTGTGTGTGTGTGTGTGTGTGTGTGAGGGGGGGAGGGGGGATTCAGTTTGACTTTTTTCTGATTTGGAGTGACATTTAAGTTAGATAAAAGCAAGCAGAACTTTAAATTTCAGCAGCTTTCTTACCTGCAGGCTGAATATCGGCCTGATTGATTCCTGCCCTGTTCACCTTCTGGACTTCTCCTAGAAGAGGACGACAGAATCTAAGTTAAATATTCCACTGTGGTCACATATTTTCATGAATGAACTCCTGAAAAACACTAGTACAATGTTGCTAATTCTCATTCTTGTATTTCCTAACGCGTCTTCAGTCAGAGGCCTCTTCAGATTCGCTGCAAGGCTGACTGCTACCAGAGGTTCGTCCAGCTCACAACTTTTTGAAGATACTTGAATAATCCGTTATAACATTTAATTCTCCTCTAGGATAAATAAAGTAATTCTGAATTGAGTTGAATGTCTAATCAAACAAGCAAAATACAGAAACCCATTCTTATTGTTGCTCCCAAACCGGAGGACGTCGAACAGAAACGATTAAAACGATTGTTGAAATTACCCAAAGTCGATTCTGATTGGTTAATTTTATTTAAATGGGAGAAAAAACAACACTGCGTTTAACTGTGACTTTAATTAGACATCAAAATGACACAAAATGCTAACTGTTTACAACATAGTCTTTGCGGTTACTTACTGTATTCCTCCTTATGTGTCAGAGGGTAGACAAATATGGGATAAAACGCAGCGGCCACCGCCGTTATGAAGCCTCCAAACACCAGAACTATTTTAGTGCTTTTAGACATCTTTTTGTTACATGTGAAGCTGCGCTGTCACCTCCAGAAGCTCTCAGGGTTTACTTTACAGGACTGCTTCCGGTGGGAAAGGTTATAGCCATCGCACCGGATGAGTCGTCACAATTGGCTGCGCCCCATTTTTCAGCCGGCGAGCCAAAAGGACGCGCGGCGGAGGCGGGGTTAGACGCTTAAAATTGAACCAAGAACAGAAAATATTACGAAATTATCACTGAAAATATTAATATTAACAACACAAAAATAAAAGTAAAAAACCAACAAGTGATATAAGTTGTAAAAATTGAGAGAATAAGATAAATAATACACTACTTTAAGGAGTAGTCTATATATTCTTTTTTTATGTTTATTTTCCAGTTGACTTTATTAAGCCAATGACAAAAGGAACAACACAGCATGGAACAGAAGAAAAACTGAATGAATACAGAATAAACTTAACATATATATATATATATATATATATATATATATATATATATATATATATATATATATATATATATATATATATATATATGTTAAGTTTTAAGAAGATATAAAAAAGTAATTTATAATAAATGGATTTTACTGAACCAATAACAAAAGAATAGGTACATTAAAATAAGTTGGTCAGAAGCACACAACTTTTGATATAACAAAACAAAGTTGATAAAATAGTAATACAAAAAACAGATTACTACAGTGGAGTTATTGATATATGTGTATTCCTCAATCTTCATCCCTACTTCTTTCATTAAATGGATTTCACTCAACCAATGAACCTCTGACCAGCTCTTCCAGTTGCTAAACTCCTCCCACGCCGCATGGTCGACGCTGCTATCTAGATCATCCGACGGCTGACTGTAAAGGAGGCGAGTCCAGTCACATGCTTTTTACAAAACAATAATAAGGACATGAGGAAGTGTTGGTGAACACTAGGGAGCTCATCGCCAAAGCTCCTGTCGCCTTTTTGAGCTGACAAAATGCATCTTTTATCCCTCATCGTGTTCAGTTTTTGGTTCAGTTCGGGAAAAACGTTCGGAGAAGATCAGCCCATTCAAACATTTGTGATTCCTCACAGCCACATGGATGTAGGCTGGGTGTACACCATCCAGGTTGTTGTGTTCATGGTACAATCGTGCTATAGAGTGCTGTTTTATTTATTCTAAACATGAGTGTGTCCTGTAGGAGAGTATGCACGCCTATGCGGCCAACGTGTACAGCAGCGTGACGGAGGAGCTGTCAAAGGTGAAGGAGCGCAGGTTTATCTCTGTGGAGCAGGAGTTTTTCAGACTGTGGTGGGACTCAGTGGCCTCGGACACTCAAAAGAAACAAGTATGGACACGTATCTACAATCACATGATTAGCTATCTGTACTGACTAGAAGTGCGACGCTGCATATTTTGGTGTCTGATTCGATACCAAGTAAATATAGTATCGGTGTCGCTTATTACTTATTATTTACGTATATCGTCTAACTTCTGACTTTTATGTTGTAGATTTTTCTTTGAATTATTTTTTATTAAAACCCAGGAGAGGTCTATACAAAATGACATATTTGCATGATAAACATCTAAAAAAAAA